ACCAACTGAGCCACCCAGGCGCCCGAAAGAAGTGTTACTTACAAAAGTGCATCCCTTTAAATTGGTTCAAGTTGAAAATACATTTCTCCATGCTGCTTTCTCTAGGCACAGACCACAGCACAGACCACTATTTCCACATCTGCTAGACACTGAATAGCAATATTAGAACCCTGATGCTGCTGATTCCGAAAAACTTGCCATGGCTGCCACTCCTGACACTAGTCTCACCAGAAGAAAAGCTTATTCTGATTCCTGCTTCTATATCTCACTAGCTTCCAAAGTTGTGGCAGCTTTATATGCTTGACAGAGCCTGAGTGAGAAAGTCTGCCAATTCCTTAGCTACGAGTGAGGGTTGGAGAGTGAACAAGTCATTTTCGGCATCTCAAATGGGAGATAAGGAAGGTCCCCTTAAGGAAGAATTCCTCAAACATAGATAGAATGATTGGTGTTGTGGTTGAAAATTAAAAATGACAGCCACCACTCATCCTTAAGAAAGAAAGACTTTTTTTTATAAAATATATCTTGGTACCATTATTATAAATAATCATGCTCCTGATGGACCATTTAGGTAATCCAAAGTAATGCTTTTTACATTTTTATGTATATAAAATAATAGGGCAGTTTTCAAGCCCAGGGTTCTTCATTTAGTTAATAGCCCTTGTTACAGACTTGGTGCATATGTTTGTGATAATGCTTAGAGTCAGAAAAAAGGCCTCATTTACCTGTAAGTCTATACTACTTAGGCAGATAATACATATCAGTGATGGAAGAAAGAATGGCCTAACAAATAATAAATTAAGACATCCAAATCAATATCTAAGACCTATATGATCATAGATGTTATGGCTGATTACTCTCAAATCCTGAAGAGTACAGGCAATTACCTTTTTATTGCACTTTGATCTATTGTGCTTTGCAGATATTATGGTCTGTTTTTTTGGTTTTTGGTGGGGGTTTTTGGGTGTTTTTTTTTTTTTTTTTTTTTTTTTTTTTTTTTTTACAAATTGAAGGTTTGAGGCAACCCTGCATCAAAGCAGGTTCATTGGTGCCATTTTTTTTCCCCACAGCATTTGCTCACTTTGTGTCTCTGTGTCACATTCTAGCAGTACTTCAAACTTTTCTATTATTATTATATTTGTTATGGTGATCTGTGATCAGTGATCTCTGATGTTACCATTGTAATTGTTTTGGCTCACCACAACTGCATCCATGTAAGACAGCCACCTTAACCGATAAATGTTGTGTTTTCTGACTGCTCTATGACTGGTTGCTCCCTCCTCTCTTCCCCTCTCCCCAGGTCTCCCCATTCTTGGGCCACAACAATATTAAAATTAGGTGAGTCAACAACCCTACAATAGCCTCTGAGTGTTAAAGTTAAAGGAAAATTCTCACATCTCTCACTTTTAAATCAAAAACCAGAAATGATTAAGCTTAGTGAGGAAAGTATGTTGAAAGCTGAAATAGGCCAAAAGCTAGAACTTTTATGCCAAACGTTTAGTCAAGTTGTGAATTCAAAAGAAAAAGTTTTGAAGGAAATTGAAAGTGCTTCTCCAGTGAACACACACACAAATGATAAGAAAGTGTAACAGCCTTATTGCTGAGACGGAGAAAGTTTTAGTGGTCTGGATGAAAGATCAAATCAGCCACAACATTCCCTTAAACTAAATCTTATCCAGAGCAAGGCCCTAACCGTCTTTAATTCTGTGAAGGCTGAGAGGTGAGGAAGCTACAGAGGAAAGGTCTAAAGCTAGTAGAGGTTGGTTCGTGAGGTTTAAGGAAAGAAGGCATCTCCACAACATAAAAGCAGCCAAAGCTGATGTAGAAGCTGCAGCAAGTTATCCAGAAGATCTAGGTCAGATAATTGATGAAGGTGGCCACACTAAACAACAGATTTTCCATGTAGGTGAAACTGCCTTCTATTGGAAGAAGGTAGCATCTAGGACTTCATAGCTAGAGAGAAGTCAATGCCTAGCTTCAAGCTTCAAAAGACAGACTGACTGACTTTCTTGCTAGGGGTTAATGCAGCTGGTGACTTTCAACTGAAGCCAAGGCTCATTCAGCATTCCACAAGTTCTAGGGCCTTCCCAGATTATGCTAAATCTACTCTGCCTCTGCACTGTAAATGAAATAATAGAGCCTGGATAATAGCACTTCTGCTTACAACATGGTTTACTGAATATTTTAAGCCCATCTTGAGATCTACTGCTCAGAAAAAAAAGATTCCTTTGAAAATATTGCTGTTTATTGACAATAGACCTGGTCACCCAAGAACCCCTGATGGAGATGTGCAATGAGATGAATGTTGTTTTCATGCCTGCCAAAATGACAACTGTTCTGCAGCCCGTGGATCAAGGAGTCATTTCAACATTCAGGTCTTATCATTTAAGAAATACATTTTGTAAGACGACAGCTGCCATAGATAGTGATTCCTCTTGTGGATCTGGGCAAGTCAATTGAAAACCTTTTGGAGGTTCTCAATGCCATTATGAACATTCTTGATTCATGGGAGAAGGTCAAAATGTCAATGTGAACAGGAATTTGGAATAAGTTGTTTCCAACTTTCATGGATGACTTTGAGGGGTTCAGGACTTCAGTGGAGGAAGTAACTGTAGATGTGGTAGAAATAGCGGAAGAACTAGAATTAGAAATGGAGCCTGAAGATGAGACTGAATTGCTGCAATCTCATGATAAAACTTTAATGGATGAGTTGCTTCTTATGGATGAGCAAGAAAGTGGTTTCTTGAGATGAAATCTACTCCTGGTGAAGATGCTGTGAAGACTTTTGTAATGACAACAGAGGATTTAAACTATTACATAAACCTGGTTGACAGCACAGTGACAGGGTTTGAGGAGATTGATGCCAATTTTGAAAGAAGTTCTACTAGGATAAAATGCTATTTAACAGCATTGTATGCTTCAGAGAAATCATTGGTGATAGGAAGAGTCCAACGATGTGGCAAATTTCACTGTCTTATTTTAAGAAATTGCCACAGCCACCTCCACCTTCAGCAACCACAACCCTGATCAGTCAGCAGCCATCAACTTCGAAGCAAGACCCTCCACCAGCATAGATTATGACTCACTGAAAGCTCAGATGATAGCAATTTTTAGAAATAAAGTATTTTTTAGTGAAGTTATATACCTCATTTTTTGGACATACTGCTATTGCACATTAGACTACAGTATAGTGGAAACATAATTTCTATATGCATTGGGAAACCAAAATATTTGTTTGACTCACTTTATTGCCATATTTATTTTATTGTGGCAGTCTGGAATTGAACTCATTATAACTTCAAGATATACCTGTAGTCTATAGAGTGTCATTTGGCCAAATCAATATTTCTTCTTCAAAGCCTAGAACAGATCACATGCCATACCCATTCATATTAAGAATGGAAATAGCCTTATGGTATTTTCTTTCTGGAAAATGAATCCACATTACATATACTTATCTACACTTAACATACTGCCTGTTGTCTGCAGAAATTAATGTTACTAAAAGACTTTTATATTACCTTACTAACAGATTTTAATATAGACAGCTATTATCAAAACTATTTTCAGTATATATTTTCACCAGATTTTGCATTCGTACATTTTTATAATTGAAAAAATAATTTCTCCCACATGAAAATTTACATGGCATATTTTCAGAGCTTAAGCATCTGAAATACCCAAAAATCTGTTACCAAAGTTAATAATTTAATTAATATACTTCAGAATTTTTACCAATAATAATTTATAAGCAGATGATATGACAAAACATTTAGCATTAGTTAGCATTTTAATTTAAAAAAAAATCTCCACATCAGAATCTCAGGGAGGTCCTGCATGTAGCCCTGTGGTTTTGTCCGAGTGAGGCCAAAGCTAACACTAGAAGGAAGTGGTCCCTACCTCAAACAGGGGAATTTCAACTGAAAAGAGTCTTTAAGTTTAAAGCTAAATATTTTCATTGAATTAAACAAATATTTATGATGTCCACATACGTGAAACAAGACAGATTCCTATTGATCCTCCTAGATCCAGTTTATTTTACTCCATCCAGTCAGACTAAGGATGGATTTCACAGATTAAAAAAAAAAAAAAAATGATGGGTTCTCAGAGTTTAGAAATGGTGGTATTAGTTTTGCAGGCGCTCACCCTGAGCCAGTGACATGGGCAGATTCATATTAACTCCAGAATTGGCTGGAAAGCTTCAGTTAAGCATGGGAAGGGGGGTAGGATGTGAGTCACAACCACAAAATGATTTATCTCATGTGAAACTGGTGTAAGTGAGAACTTTAAATGGTATTGACAGGAGTGTGAATTTTCTTTTTTGAGTGTTCCACCTGCCTAAAAGTGGAAGCTTCCCCTGCTGCTGCCCAGGCTGTCCTCATTTGAAGGATAAACAAAAGCCTCCTCTCCAAAAGTCTGTCAATCCAGCACTTTTACGAGGCACTGAATTCATTTAAAGAAAAAAAAAAAAAGTGCTAACTGAATACATTGTCAAACTAAAAATGATTTTAATTTTTTAAAGGGAAACTTGGCATACCTAATCCTCTGAATAATTATCTCAGCAGTGTGTAGTTAGTTTTGTGTTACTACTATGATGGTGAAAAACCCAATATCCTACACACTATTTTAATCGGTAGTTACTGTCAGAAACCAAGGTATAACTAAGCAAGAAATGGCTACAAAATAGGCACAAAAATGCCATGGGACACTTCAATAAATAAGTGTTATCAGAATAACTATTAATAAAATCCAAGATTATCTGCTTTTATTTTCTAACATTAAACATAAATTGTATAAAAGGAAGATTCTGATATTTTTTAAACCAATTAATTATTTTATTATTTCTTGACAGAGTCACATTCATTTATCCATGGGAGAAACTTACTGAAATATCAACTCACTACCTTTGACTTTTTTTATCTTTTTATTTTGGCGCCAGCAAATTATTATTTTTTAAATGTTTTATTATGATTTTAAGGTAAAGGAAGAAAACAAATTTTGTGTACTCTCTTTCAACTTAGAGCTTATTGCAGGTCATTTGTCTATGTTTATATAATGGAAATATATATAATGTCTCCAGTTATGAGGCATCACAATTTTCTTCTTTCCAATATCAAGTCGGGAACATTTTCTTCAAGTACTCCTTTCAAGTGTTGCTCTTTCATTTCAATTCATCTACTCACACAGAGAACCTGATAAAAGATGGGATCTAGTTAATACTACTGATCCATTGTGTTCACATAGGCTTCCTCTGTGCTACTGTGATCATAAGCAGTGCACAATAGGAGGCATTTTGGTACTTATTGTGCATAATTATTAAGGTGTGACAAAAGAATGAAGGAATTGCAGAAGCAATCTGTTCTTCAATCTGGGCTGTCTGAGGATCCTTTCAGAACGGCAGAGTGTTAATTTCCTGAACATCTCATGATAAACAAAACAAGCCTTCTCTGACAAGAAAGTTGCCATAAAAACATGCCATTAGTGCATGATTTATTCTCCAGTGTAATAAAAACCCAGTGAAATAAGAGTTAGTAGTTCCTTAGGTAAGGAGACACTCAAGCTTTTGTAAACCATTGATGTCCTCCTGCCAAGGGGACAAGAAGACAATTTGTTTATATTTTGAAAGTTAATGAATCCCCTCAGTTTAAAATAATTGTTACTCCTTGGAAACAGTAATGAAAGAGATCTTTTTTATGATGATTCCTAGTGATATGAAAGCCCATTCTTCTGCAAATAGAGCAGTTTGCAAAATATGCACAGTTACAGAAGTACCATTTACCAGTTAATAAATATTATTTACTTGTGCATTGGTTTCAGATTACTGTGAAAATTAGTAAACACATTAAAATTCTAAGTACATATGCCACATAAAAAATTTTTCACGTAACAATAAAAACAAATCTGTTTTATATGATGAGCTTGAAAATAAACCCTGGGTGCTTTTGTTTTTTACCATCATTTAACAGGTCATCCTTAAAGAAAATACCCTATTCAGGAAGATGAAATTAACCAACAATTTGTCCTTTTAAACTTACTTGAATCAGGAAAAAATAATTATACTGAATGATACAAAGATACCTATTTTTTTTCCTTGAGTTGGAAATACTGGGTTATGTTATGCAATTTTGGTCTGCAAAACAACCCATCAACTCAGAAGTAACAATCTATGCTTCTTTGCTCCCTGTGAGCTTCCAGACCTAGTTACCTTGGAGACTACTGTCTGTCTTACTCTATACCCTCGGGAGTTTCAGAATCATCCAGAGAACTAAAAGCAGTGATCTTCAGTCTGAGCCTTCTGAAAGGAAAAAAAAAAAAAAAAAATCAAGAGCAGAAGCCTTTTGGAATATATACCTTCTCAATTCTTTTAGATCTGACCCCACTGGTACTTTCAGCAGCTTAGATTTAGACAGTTCAGCTCTATACAAATGATTTTTAGTTGCCTCTTATACAAATGATTTTTAGTTGCCTCTTATGATGTCTTAAAAAATAATCTCAAATTTCTTTTTCTCTACTACATGGATAGGAATCTAGGCAGATTAAATCAGAGGTATCTATCTCAAATGGTATTTATTCTCTGTAGAGAGAAATAACAATCCATTGCAATTAGGTCTCCCCTAGGGTAGATATCAGGATTTTTAAACTGAGATATGCAACAAACGGGAATATTTTAGTGACCCTCTGAAGATTAGTGTTTCTCAAATTTAGCTTGTTATAAAGACAAATTGTCACTTCTCTCTGTCAGAGTGTGACTCAGGTCTAGGCGATGGCTGAATGTTTAACAAGTGCCTCTGATGCTTCTGAGAATTACACTCTGAGAAACCCCACAATATGTTGTTACCAAAATATACAAATAATTCAACCAATTACTGAACATTATACCTACTCTCAAGCTATGGTGTGGTGATAGTATAGATTTCATTCCATCTCTCCTCTGATGGAGGAATTGTGAAGTTCACAGAATCAGCTTCGCGTCTCTGGTAAATGGCGTGAATGTTTGTCTCCTCTGCTTTTGACTTTTGCTTTCCAAGTCTCAGGTGTAGTTGTTCTGCCAATTCCTTCAAAGTATTTTTCAAAGTTTATTTACATGTTCGTAGGGAGTTGTTACCCCGATTCCCAATCCCTATATGTGCTGTAACTGAAAGCACAACCTCATTTGCCTTAGCCTCCCTCCGCCACCACTTTACCCAGAATTCAATACGAGAGTGGGGCTGCTTACGAGCGAAAACTCTAATTCAGAAGTGCAATGTAGCTTAACGTTCAGAAAACGGTTATTGGAAGCATTGGCCACATTCTTATACAACTGTCAGGGGGCCGACCATCCTGCCTTGCCCCCTGCTTCTTATGTAGTTTGGCCAAGGCGGATAGCCTGAAAGCCAGGGTTTTCCAGGGGGCAGCTGACTGCTCTGCACGGGGAGCCACAAGACGGTAGGGGTAAAAGGCAGAGATGAACAGACGCGTGATGGAGGGAAGAGAAGAGTGAGCAGGAGTCATTTCCTGTGGCAGCTGCAAGAAATTACCACACATTTGGTGGCATAAAGCAACAGAAACTGATTCCCTCACAATTCCAGAAGCCAGAAATCCAAAACTGATGTCACTGTGCTGAAATCACTGTGTTGACAAGGCTGCACTACTTGCTCTAGGGGACAATAGGAGAATCCGTGCTTTCCCTCTTCCAGCTTCTTCTCTTTTGTTTTCTTTTATGAAGTAGGCTCCACACTCAGCATGGAGCCCACCGCAGGGCTTGAACTCACGACCCTGAGCTGAGATCAAGAGTTGGATGCTTAACCGACTAAGTCACCAGGCACCCTACTTCTTCCTGCTTCTGATGGTAGCAGGCTTCTGATTCCTTGGCTTCTAGCTGCATCACTACAGTCTTTGAGGTCAGCATCTTCAAATCTCTCTCTGCTCCATCTGCCCATCACCTTCTCTTCTGTGTGTCTGTCTGTAAAATTCCTCTGCCTCCTTCTTTGGAGGATACATGTGATTGTTTTTAGGACCCACCAGACAGAATACTTATCTTATTTCGAGACCCTTAGTCACACATCTTTTTTTTGACCACACATAAGGTGACATTCACAGGTTCCAGGGATTAAAATGCGGATATCTTGGGGCAGCGGAGAAGGGGGTGGGTGGATGGTTAAGCTTACAGAGGGAAGAAAGAGAAGAGAGAACTTATGTCGGGAGGCTGAAGCAAAGTGCAGAAAGTGATCATTGAGCAGTCATTGGCTCTAACAGGAATATCTAAGGTCAATTTTAAGCAGTATGCCTTGCTGAGTTAAAAACTATCTTGATCTTCCTAAATTTTCAATGAAGAGGAATTCAAAGACAAAGCTTTGTGGAAGAAGCTGAGTTTCACAGAAGTAAAAATGACTGTCAAAAATGACCACGAGAATTTTAATCTCTGGCTGTACTGGGGCAGGACTTCCCACAGGACTTGGGCTAAAGGCTCGAGCTAATTTTATCTAAATATCAAAGGGCAGCATTGCTTAACTGAAATCTGGGTAGCAGTGTATTTATTGTGGTTTACACTGGATTTTAACTATTACATTAGGGTTTTGTTTTATTTATTTATTTATTTTGCTGCTGTGGTTCTGTCCTTTCTTGGCTGTTCACACATTTCTGGAAACCATCTCAGGTTATATTTCCTTTTCTAACATTTTTTTTGCTATTCCATGTGTCCTGAACGCTTTCTTTATAAGCTTAAACTGAAGATTGTGTTGACACACATTCCTATTAAAAAAAAAAAAAATGATCTCAGGCCACCCAATGCAATAGGAGTTCCCATCTGCGTGTCCCTTGGCTTATATACTACACTCATTAAATCTTTATCTTCAAATCTTTAATGACAAAGATTTTTAATCTTTGCCAGATTGACTCTGGTACTATATAAGGACTATTTGTACAAGGCATTAGTCGGTCCTATAGTAACCTGTCACATTTCAAAGGCAAGCCTTCTTAGGTTAATGGTAAGATTGATATCAGAGTTGATGAGAAGGTGGAAATCAAGAGATTAGCAGCCCATCGGCCTTAGAAATTATGCCAAAAGAAAAGCCACTAAGTGCTACTCAGCCTTCTACAAGTGAATTACACAAGTGAATTCATTATGGCTCATGTTTTCTTAAATTTCCAGTTTCATAGACACCCCAAAATGCCAAAATTTTGAGAGGCAGTTTAGAATGAGGAGCCAACCCATCCTTGCAGGGCATTGTAACAAGCTCCATTATAGCTGCTTCAACTCCAGAATGAAGTTGAACAGATAAGAAAACTGAGGATTCTTCTCAAGTCAAGGGCATGCACAGAGCAGGAGGCACTTTCCCTCTGCCTCCATGTAAAACAGGGAAAAATATCTCTAAGGCAATCACTGAGAAAGCTTTATATATTTCTCCTGGAGCTTGAGAAGCTAGTGTGTAATTCTTGACAAGAAAATGTTAATGTCAGGGAACTGTGCCTGGAACTGACCCTTCCTGACTATACATGGAGAAAGTTTACAGGGGATGAGCTGTGTAATTAACTTCTGCTTTCATGGTCAACTTGCTCCACTTTAAACTATAAATATTTCAATGCTCTGCTAGACCAACAAATTTATGTTATCCTTTTATTCAACAAATAGTTGTTGAATGTCTGTTATGTGCAAGAGAATATGGCATTTCTTTTTTTTTTTAAGATTTTATTTATTTATTTGACAGAGAGAAACACAGCAAGAGAAGGAACACAAGCACGGGGAGTGGGAGAGGGAGAAGCAGGCTTCCCGCCGAGCAGGGTGCCTGATGCGGGGCTCGATCCCAGGACCCTGGGATCATGACCAGAGCCGAAGGCAAATGCTTAATGACTGAGCCACCCAGGTGCCCTGTGAATATGGCATTTCTTAAGTGAACAGTGTTTAGTCATTTTAGCTCACATAGTTACTAGTAAATTCATAGTATTAAAAATACATTCTAAAGAAATATTAAGTGAAACATTTATTGTATGTATCTCTGCACAATACATTGTATGAGATGCAATTGTGAATTTATGTAATCTTGCCCAGTATAAGAGGAGCTCATAGTTGAGTGATTAATTATGATGTAACATCATATGTAAGAAAATGTGACAGATGAAAGCTATAAGCGTTCAGTTACAATGAGATAGTACCACCAACAGAGGCAAAAGTTCTAGCATGGGTTATGAGTGAGGTCTTAGTAACAACTGTTCAATAGTCTCATAAGTCGCTTGCCTTTCGAATAAGATAACATCACACTGAGACCCTCATATATCAAATTATATGCTGGAGGTAAAGAATCCAGAGATTAATATAATTTATTACCTAACTTCCAAAAGGTTATAACTCAGTTTGTTAGGGTTGCTGGAGTGGTGGGGGGTGGGAGGGATGGGGTGGCTGGGTGATAGATATTGGGGAGGGTATGTGCTATGGTGAGCGCTGTGAATTGTGTAAGACTGTTGAATACAGACCTGTACCTCTGAAATAAATAATACATTATATGGTTTAAAAAAAGAAAAAGATAGTAGGAAAGGTAAAATGGAGGGGGGGAATCGGAGGGGGACACGAACCATGAGAGACTGTGGACTCTGAGAAACAAACAGAGGGTTCTAGAGGGGAGGGTGTTGGGGGGATGGGTTAGCCTGGTGATGGGTATTAAAGAGGGCACGTACTGAAGGGAGCACTGGGTGTTATATGCAAACAATGAATCATGGAACACTACATCAAAAACTAATGATGTAATGTATGGTGATTAACATAACATAATAAAATAAAATAAATCGTTTTCACAGAAAAATAATTATGAAAAGTAAAAAAAAAGAGGTTATAACTCAATGGAAACAATTGACAATTATGGAAATTATTCTCACGGAGCATGTCTCAGTGTGTGCGTGCATGTGTGTATGTGTGTGTTTCTGAAATTGAGGTTCATACAAAGTGTCCAACTCTTGAGGAAAGTCAGGAGAAGCAGAAAGAAACAAAATCAATGATGATTTTAATAAATCAGACTCTGCTACAGTACAAACTGTTTTTACTCAAAACCAAAGGGAATCTAAACCCAAAAGTCAGTCTCAGGAAACCAGGGAGATAGATTTAGCTTGAAGGGTTGCTGCTCACTTTGCCTGTCCTCAGTGGCCAAACAAAACATGCTTCATGTGTCAGCAACATGCACATGACACAAACCCTAAGCCCTGTATGAAAGAGAACCTTCAGCATGTACTTGCTGGACACAGGGCTAGTTCCCTGTAACAGTTTTCCTGGACATAGAGCCCAGTTTATTTTTGCATTTGATTATCTCACCTACTAGTGTTGCTGCTCTTTCTACTATTTTAATTTCTTCTTAACTTCAAGTTTCTTTTTGCTGTTAGAAACTCTTTCTTTTAAAAGATTTTATTTATTTATTTGACACACAGAGATAGCGAGAGAGAGAGAGATAGAGAGAGGGAGAGAGCACAAGCAGGGGGAGTGGCAGGCAGAGGGAGAAGCAGGCTTCCTGCATCAGCAGGGAGCCCGATGTGGGGCTCAATTCCAGGACCCTGGAATCATGACCCGAGCTGAAGGCAGCGGTTTAACCAACTGAGCCACCCAGGCGCCCTGCTGTTAGAAACTCTTTTCTGCAGAACAACCCTAACCCTCCCAATTTGCATATTTTTTTAAACAAAGGCTACTTGACTTAGGGCAATGTGCATAAACACAGCTCCCAGATTTTCTTAACTCTTAACATTCACAACCAGAATATTGCCCTTATCTTACCATCAGACCTGCCTTGGCAAAAATAGTGATGTCTCAATGCTCTTCACAAACGTCGCTGTTCACAATGACAATAGAGTAGGATTTTTGCTCAACAAAATTTACAAAGGTTTAAAAAAATGAAGAGCAAATTGAATTTTTTTGAATAATGGATAACTTTTCTAAAGTATATTCAAGTTAGGTAAGTGTAAATATTCAGGAAGTATAAATCCTGGAAAAAAATTTCCATGAAATACATACTAAATATTGCATGGAATGGAAATTTAGCCTTGGCAAAACAAACCATTGAAGATTTTTTGTTTTTAAAACTGAATGCAGAACCAGTTAGAACATTGTTGTTTTGAGTTAGATGGACATTTTTAAATGTTTGGAGACTTAAGTTTTGTATAATACACACAGAAAAGAATTGAAAAAAAAGGAATTTTTTTTTTATAAGGCTTAGCCAGACA